AGGAACACAGAATTATAAACTCTTAAGAACCCAGATATCTAGAGTTATGAGAAATCAGCACTTGGACACAAGAAACTGGAGTTCTTGGCATCCAGCTATGTGGGGTCAAAGGGAGTCAGGGAACAGGCTGGGGTTCTAAGGAGACAGATTTTAAGGATCCTAGGATGTCAAAAATCTCAAGAACCAAGATATTGGGAGACACTGGAATTAGGAGAACATAGTTGGAGTTCTGAGCACCCCAATATCTGGGGTCACAAGGATCCAAAGAAACAGATCCAGATACTAGGAGTCCTAAGGAGCCAGTGGGACAGAGATCTGGGGTTTTGAGCACCTAGTTATGTGTGCTTGCAAGTGATCAGTGTCTGCTGGGGTCACAAGGTCAGGTGGCTTGGGGACTGAGGATTCTAAGAATTGGGGGCAGGACTGGGGAGTTCTGGGAATCAAGGATTTAGGACCAGAAAAAGGATTCAGGGAGTCTCTGGGAAGAAGGTCCCAGGGCACCAAGGCCTGGTATGGGACATACAAAAACCAGGAAACCTGAGAGTTCAATAATGGGAGCCTCCAAGGATCAGGAGATGACAGAGAACGCCAAACACCATTTTCCCCATCCTGTCTCCATCCCTGATCTCCAGGAAGAAGCATCCCCTCTCACAGCTGTGCTGACCTCAGCATCCCAGAGTGACCTCCAGAGCTGCAGAGACCCCATGCCTAGTACCTCCAGACCTTTGCCCAGTTCCTGCACCTTCCACCCCCTCAGAGCACAGCTTTGAGCTGTGCATCCCGAGGCCTGTCACTGCCTCCTTTCCCATTCCTTGAGTGAGAACCTGGGCCTCAGTTTTCCCCATTTGTGTGATGGGTGGATGTGGATTTGCCTGCTACCACAGTCCCTTCCAACAGTTTGATCTGAACAGGCTCCCAGCACCACTCCCCACTAAGCAAACTCTGTTCACATCTACCCCACACCCTACACCTAGTGCTTCATCCATCCTTACATCCCTCAGCCACAAATTCACTCAGCAAACAGACCCTGGGGTCCCCCTGCTGGGTGATGATAGGGGTTCAGTCCTTAAGGGACTCTTTGCCTAGGAGGAGCTGGGAGTCAGACACAAGTGAAAATAAGTGATATTGAGAGTGACCAGGGCCGAGGGGGAAGCTGCGGGAGCCCAGGGGAGGGATGTGGGAGAGGAGTTTGTCATGGGTGTTGAGGACTCAGTGTGAGATGCAAAGGGGACCTGGGAAAAGCGCAGGTGCCTGGCAGGAACAAAGGCCTGGAGGTGGCAGGTGGGTTTGAAGATCTATGGGCCTGGCCTCAGACATGTCCTTTCTCTGCCCAGGACCTTTACTGTCCCTGTACCCGACTCCGACCATGGGCACCCCTTTCCCTCTGCTGAACCTGCCTACACCCCTGTACCCCATGATGTGCTCCATGGAACACCCCCTGTCGGCTGACATCGCCATGGCCACCCGTGCGGATGAGGACGGAGACACGTGAGTGACAGTCCCCCATTAATGGAGGGATTAGTAGGGCCAATCTTCCCCCCACCTCACCCACCGAAGGACAGGTGCCCTCAACATTGGCTTTCAAGTTGTCTCGACCCAAGTTAGAATCCAGTCTCCACCGCTGTCTCTGTGACTTTGAGCAAGGCCCTTTCCCTCTCTGAGCCTCAGTTTCCTTTTCTGGAAAATGGGCACCCTGTGAGCACTTACTTCCTAGGGCTTTTTTTGAAGCAGTGGATTTCCAGTTTATCAAAATCCAAAAATGAGAAAGACATTTCACTGACTGATTTCTTACATGAATTATACATGATAAGCTCCTCGCACTGAGCCTGGGAGATTAGAAGTGCTCAATAAGTATTAATTAAGATTATTGTTGTTGTCATGACTTTATATTAAGCCCAGGACATACATGCACGTATAAACTTGAAAAAAAAATTGCACAGAACAAAACAGGACTTACCCTTACAACATGGGGTCTACTTTGGGTTTTTTCTATTCTAGTCTCATTTCCTGGTCATAGCCCACTAAATTAGGCTGACAATCCCTTAAGTTGATTTCACCAGTCTCATGGTTTGATCCCCTGCAGTTTGGGACCTCTGGGAAATCCTACATCAGAGGGTTTAGCCCCGGGCCCAGCATCTAGTGAGCCCTCAATACACTTGACTGCCATGATTCTTATGATTCTATCCACCTCAGTTTGAATCTCAGCTGGCCACTTTCTCACCCCTCTCTGCCTCAGTCTCCCCCTATAAAAATAGGAACCATGAGTATGTGGGGGTCTCTGTGAGGCAGAAATGCAATCACTTCTAGAAGGTGATGATCTGGGGATGGTTTTGGTGGGAATGGGATGGACAGGCCTTTTTCTGCAATGAAAATGGGGGCTCCACCACTGGCCCCTGGGTGGCTTCCCATCCCTGAGCCACATATCTCCTAGCTGGAGATCAGGGCTCATCATCACAACTGGGCTTGAGTGCAATGATGGACATACATGTAGTGCATAGAACAGGACTGGGCACACAGTAGGTACTCAGTACGTGGGAGGGGATTTTGTTTAAACAGAGCTCCTAGGGTGGTTGTGAGCCAGACTTGTGAGCCAAAGCAGGAGAAAGTGCCTGTGAGATATATAAAGGACTCAGCGAAGCTAGTTCCCTCCCACTCTGGGTACCTCTGGGGTCATCTGTGAAATAGATTTAATTTGTACCTGTCCCCAGGGGTGATTTGTTTGCAGCCTGTGAAAGAGGGGTGCAGAGAGGGACCTGGCACAGCAGCCCGCAGCCCCACACCCCAGCCGCTCTCCCCTACTCCCCCCTCTCCCCCAAAGCAAACACTTCTGCCTCAGCTGCCTGTTGGGGGAAATCCCTTCCCGCAGAACTTGACCGCAGCCCAGCTGCTCTGCCTCCCCCACGTCAGCACCCGTCACTCACTCGCAGCCTCCCCCTCCCGGCGCTCCCTCTAACCTTAACCCCTTCCGCTGGGGCCCAAGACTTTACCGGAATGGGCAGCCGGCGCAGGCCTGGCGGGGGCGGGGGAGGGGGACACGAGCAGTCTGGGTCCCCAAAGCAGCAAAGCTACAGTTGGGAGGCTGGACTTCCAGGGATTCAAGGGAGAAAGAATCTCAGGGCATTTGGACCCCCAAGAGGTCAGGCACTGGGGAGCTGGCATCTGGGTCTCCAAGAGAGGGGGGCACGTGTTCTGAATCCCAGAGAATAGAGGTGGGGGTAGTGTAGTCCTTGACCTCTGAGCAGAGTAGGACAAGGGTGCAGGGCAGATTGGGGATCTACTCGGAGGGAATGGGGAAGTTCGCATCGCAAAGAGTTAGGGAACTATATTCCTAGGGTCCCAAGAGGTCTTGGGAGTGGATGCCCGGCTTGGGGGGATAGGCAGCCAGCTGGAGTCTAAGCCCCAAAGGGTGGAATTCTAGGGGGGGGTTCCCTGGCTGGAGGACTTGGAGTCCTTCCCCCAACGGTAACTAGGTCTCTAAGTTGGGCTCCCCTCTCCGCCCCTTTCGAGGATGGAAGTTGGGGTGCCAGGGTGGCCGGGGTAGATCCCCGGCAGGACAGGCTTCCCTCCCCCGGGAGCAGGAAGCAGAGCCCCGCCCAGCAGACCTGTTACTGGAAGTCCGAGGGCTGGGCCGCCCCTCCCGTCCCCACTTCCTCCAGCCCCGCCCCACCCCCTGCGGCCCGCGCGTTTATGGGAACTCAGGCCTGGACGGTTTCTCTGAAATCATTCTCTCCCTCTGCCCTCACTTAACCCCGCCCGCCCCGAGAGAGACCCGGGCCGGGCGTCCTGGGAGATGCTGGGAGGGGCGGGAGACCATCCCAGGGGCCCCTCGCCCAGATGCGACCCCTCCCCCAAGATTTCTTTTTAAATGTGTCTCTCACGGATCCGGGTCCAGAATCAGAGTTTCATCTGCATAATCCCCTCCTGGGAGATAGGCGTTATTATGGGTTATGCTTTACAGAGAAGAAACCCGAGGCTCAGAAGGGCCATGTGACTTTGCCCTAGCCTCACAGCTAGAGAGATTTGCCACCCAGTTGGTAACCCTGGCCTGCTTAGTTTCCCCAGAGCCCCCTGGGCTGCAGGATTTCTCAGCATGGGAGAACCGCTATTCACCTGCCAGAGCCATGCTCTGGTTGGTCCCCAGCAGTGGTGGGTGAGAAAGTAGTGGCTCCAGTAAATGGACTTTAAAGAAAGGTGTGGGGCCTATGTACCTTCAGTCTTGTGCCCTTAGTGCTAATGCCCCCTTACCGACCCTGTACAGTCATCCCAGATTGCCGTCATTTTGAAATGACTCTTCCAGGTGGGGGGCCCTGGGAAGTGGCAGGAAGTTTATTGGAAAGTGTTCTCCACATCAATGCCTGCAGGGGTGGAGGAAGCTGGACTTGGCAGGGGCAGCAGTCAAGCTTCTGTGTAGTTTCACCAGGGCCTCAGCTATCCCAGAGGGAGTGTTTTGCAGCTGGAGTGGCCTTCAGAGTTGGGGCCAGAAGGCCAGACCTTCTATGCCCACACTGACCAGTCACTGGATGCCATTGTATGACATCTACCCCCACCCAACTGACCCCCATGACCTGGGCAAGCAGCTCTTTTCTGCAGAGAGTAATTAACAAAGAGTGCTGACAACCTTCCCAGAAGCTGAGGGAATGAGTCCCTCAGTCCGGAAAAGGGGGGGGGGTGTATCTAGGTTGTGCAGCCCAGCCTCCCAAACAATGACCCCCATCCCCATTTGTCCCACCTCCCTTCTGGGCAAAACTTCCTCCACTCTTGGGTTGAAGGCTGAACATGATCTGCAGTCACAGCTGATGGGAGCCCTTGATGGCCTTGAGTTCATCCCCACTCTTGTCACAGATGAGAAACTCATGGCCTGGAATGGGGTGGGGATGTGGTCACCAGCTTCAAGGATGGCCAAGGATCGTTGAGAGGGACTCATTTATTCTATGAGTATTTGAGGAGCACCTGTTCAGCCCCAGCCACTGTCCTAAGCACTGGGCAGTGACAGAAGCAGACAAAATGCTCTACCCTGGTGGAGTTGACATTCTATCAGGAAAGAGTTAGACAGGAAACAAGTGTACAATGTCAGGTGATGATGTGGGGGAAAATGAAACAGGGAGAGGGGCGAGCCACTGCCACTGTACCATTTTAACTGAGGCCCAGATGAGGGGAGCTGACCCTGCAGATCTGGGGGAGGGGTAAGATTATTCCAGGCAAAGGGAACAGCCAGTGTGAAAGCCCTGGGAGGCAAGCATGCTTGGTATGTTTGAGGAACAGCAAGGAGGTCAATGGTCCCAGCTGAGTGAGGAGAGTGGACAGAGATAAAGGAATTGAAGAATGAGAGGCAAGATCACATAAGGCCTGTGGGCCATAGCGAGGACTTCGGCCTTTACTCTGAGGGTTCTGGGCAGAAAAGGGGCATGACCTGACTTAGATTCCACAAGGGTCTCTCTAGCTGCTATGTGAGGGACAGGCCATAGGGCAGGGTGGAAGCAGGGAGGCCAGGGAGGAGGGGACAGTCGAGGGGGGAGATAATGGTGGCTGAACCAAGACGGAGGGAGTAGGGGTGGGGAGCAGTGGCTGGATTCTGGAGATTTTTCTAGAGTAGCCTGCACATAATGGAATGAGCACTGCTAAGATTGTGGGTGTGAGAGGTGACCAGCCCCTCATGCCCGTGATCCTCCACCTCCAGGCCACTCCACATTGCCGTAGTGCAGGGCAATTTGCCAGCTGTGCATCGGCTAGTCAACCTCTTCCAGCATGGCGGCCGGGACCTGGATATCTATAACAACCTACGGCAGGTGAGCCTGGGGACCTGGATCTGATGGAACAGGGGGCTGGAGACCTGGACTCCTGGGTCCTAGGGGAAGAAGAGCTGGGGGCCCTGACTGTTGAATCTGAGGGAGGAGGCGCTCCAGATTTCTGGTTCTTGAATAAGACTATAGCTAGGCGTCAGGACTCGGAAACTCTGGGGAAGGCAGGACTGGGAGGCAGGGCACGGGTCCCTTACAGTCTCTCGTCCCCAGACACCGCTACACCTGGCTGTGATCACCACCCTGCCGTCTGTGGTCCGGCTCCTGGTGATGGCCGGTGCCAGTCCCATGGCACTGGACCGCCATGGCCAGACGGCAGCCCACCTGGCGTGCGAGCACCGCAGCCCGGCCTGCCTGCGGGCCCTGCTGGACAGCGCGGCCGGAGGCACCGTGGACCTGGAGGCCCGCAATTACGACGGTGAGCACCTACCCGGGTGCAAGGTGGGGCTGTCTGGCAAGCCATGGAGTTCTTCTGAGGGCGCAGAACCCCACGCCCAGGTTTAACTGAGTCTCCCTCTCCTTCAGGGCTCACTGCCTTGCACGTGGCCGTGAATACCGAGTGCCACGAAGCCGTGCTGCTGCTGCTGGAGCATGGCGCAGACATCGACGCTGTGGTGAGCGTGCTTGGGTCGGGGGTGGAGCCAATAGGAGCGGGGAGGGGCGGAGCCAACGGGGAGGGGCTACAGTGGGAGAACGCCCTGATGAGTGGGGTGGGGCTTGAAGTATGCATCCGGTTGAGATGCTAGACTAAGCGATTGCGATGCGAACCCGCCCACTGTTTGGACACAAGTAGGAGATGCTCAAAACCTTCCTTCCCTGCCGCAGGACATTAAGAGCGGCCGCTCCCCACTCATACACGCCGTCGAAAACAACAGCCTTAGCATGGTGCAGCTGCTGCTGCAGGTGGGTACGGCCTATGCCCGTGGCCTCTCGCCCACTCTTTCCTCTGTTACCAACAGGCTGTCGCCCCATCCCTGCCACTCACTGACCCCTTCCAATTCTGTCTCCTCTCTTGCTATACTTCCAGCCCCGACCCTTCCTTCCAGGACTCTATCTGTCAACCCTGTGACTTATTTCTCTCTCTCTCTCTCTTTCACACATACACACAACACACACACCGGCTACGAACTTACCCAGGTCCTTCTCCCATTACTCCTCCGCCGTTCAAATGGCCCAAGCTGCCCCACCCAGCGAGAGTCTTACTGATCCTGCCTTCCGGCTTTGGCCCTGTCTCCGTGCTGTCCTTCTGCCTCAACTGTGACCACCATTAGGCCCATACTCTGGACTCTTCCCATCTCTGACTCCACCCTACCTTGGCCAGGGCTGCCGAGTCCAGCACGGGTTGATTCAGCGCCGCCCCCCATCCCGCTCTGTCCAGCTTCCAGCCTTCTCTCGCCCCACCCCGATGTGGCCCCGCCCCAGGCTCTGATCCCACCCGGCCCCGCCCCTCCCTCTGGCCCCGCCCGGGCCCCGCCCCCTCCAGTCGGACCT